AACATAAATGACTTGAAGTTCAAATCCATTAACCCATGAATAATTACTATATTTTGGAACCAACACATAGCACAAAAAATATTTTGTCAATTTGACCCGTTTTGTCATCTTTATATTATATGGACACATCAAAACCACCATGATCATCTACATAAAAATGGGTAATTTCTCTTTCCATCCTATAGTAAAAAAAAATCCTATGTATTCATTAAAATGCCAATGGAAACTGGATATATATTTCTGATGTCCACCATTTTCTGTTAAATATTGTCTAAAAACCAGAAATAATTTTCTAAAATGAACCGGAAATGCATTTTCGATTTTTGTGCAGACAGCACCAGAAAGGCCTATGCTGACAATGAGTCTTTTTGCGCGTTGTTTCACATTAAATACAAAGACGTATACAACAAAACATACTACAAAGACATATAGAACAAAAACATATAAATAAATATTTGTAAACAGTACAAAAGATGTCCGTAGTCAATATAAGGGATAACCTAAAATATTATCCAAATACAATAAAAAACAATAACAAAAATACATATACAACATCGAAGACTACTAGATATGACAGACTATGAGTCGGCCCCTCCCTTCCCAGCGTTCCTCTGCTGCCTCCTATACTGCAGAGTCCCCCGAGCCTCCGCTATTATGGCATCTAGAACACCTCTAACATCAGAGCCATAGGAAACAAACCTCCATCAATACCCGCCTACGTAATGTCCATGATACAACGATACTTAGGCAACACATATGTGGTATGGTCGACATGTGCCTGCTCCTCCTCTAGAATCTCCCGATGAGCTGGCCTCGGAGGATTTCCTGGAAAATCCTGTACCAAGTATGGATGGAACATCTTGAAGAACCATATGATATAACCATCCACGTAGCTCCAGTCGTCTGGAGCAATGGTACTCCAGGCCTCATATGGAACAAGATGATTCTTATAATCATCAAACAAAACATATATATCCCTGTGTTTCACCAAGGGAGGAGCAGATATAGCAGAATCCCAGGGAATATATTGGGTGTATCCAAATTGACGTATGACGCGCTCAGACATATAAGCAGTCGTCTTGCAAGACCCGCAAGCCAACCATCCTGTAAACAGTATAACATCATCAAATGGTATCGTGACACGGTGGTCATGGTATAGATGGAAGTGTATGTCCTCAAACACCAGCCGATCAATATACACTCAGAATGAGTCTGTCGTCTCGTTCCCTCGGAGCAGGTCGCATGAAGTGGCACGCGACTTAGCTTCAATATAATTCGTAGCTAGTGGCCAACCCGAGATGCGAGGAAAGTGCGTTAGAATCCAGCCCTGAAATAACAATAACTATTACTCTGTCTGTCCTAAAATAAGTTTTTTAAGATTGTGTCACACAGATTAAGAAAAGTAATGAGTGAAAGAATAAATGTAACACATTTATAAAATTGTCCTTAATGATTATCGGTTATTTTTACATTGTCATAAAAGCAAAGTGAAATTTAGTGTCTTGAGAGTGGTGCAGACATAATTAATTAGGTGTAAAATTGATAAAAATCAATTAATATTGCATTGGAAAAGTAAAACAACACTTATTTTGAAATAAATTTTTTAGGCTAAAGAGATACTTATTTTGAGACAGAGAGAGTAATTAGTAACAAAATCACAATAATTAACAAAATGGCATAAAAACTAAGAAATTTTATTGTCAAAAGTGTGATGTTGAATCCCTCAGACAACTTCGTATACAGTTCTACTGGTGGATCTGCTCAAAATCATCAAAGTACCTCAGGTACATCACATCTGTGTAAGTGACACTAGTGTCCATAATAATTTGTGTACCAACCAGAAATAAAAGATATGCTCCCATAGCAAACCTTCAGTGTAGGGTAACCTGCTCAGGATCACCATCAGCCTCTCGTGCACGCTTGATCTCATTCGTGAGCACCGTCTTCAAATAACTATATCTGACGTGGGCACCACGAGTGAAGTCCAACTTAGCCTAAACCCTAAACCCTACCAACATATCCAACGCCTCCTCTTTGTCAATCCTTTCATGGTCTAAGAATGTTCTTCTAATCGGGAGATGCAGCAGAGACGCGATGTCGTCCAGTGTGATCGTCATCTCACCATGTGGTAGATGGAACAACGACGTCTCGTAGTGCCACCTCTCAACAAAAGCGTAAATCATACCATGATTAATGACATTATAACCACACTTGATCAAATCTTTCAACCCGGTGAGCATCAAAAACTCATCAAACCATGGCTCAAGTGGGGCTTCCAGTTTACTGATCTTCCGTCCATGATTATTGACCTTCAACGGATCATGTTCCTACATTCATAATTGACAAAATTCATTCAAAAAAATTCATTCAATAAAATTCATACCCTGTAAGCATCAACAAAAATGTAATAAAAAGAACAAGTCAAAATTCATACCTCTCTGTCCCATATATATCTAGCAACATAGTCCAGGTATACAGGTAGCATAGATAAATCAGATGGTCCTCCTCTAAAACTCTGAGGCACCGCTTGAGGTGCCTGAGATGTCTGGGGTGCTTGTTCAGGTGCTGGTTCAGGTGCCTAGGATGAAGATTGTGGTTCGGCATGAGGTGTCGATTGTGTGACTTCTGGTGTCGGCTCGAAACCAGATGCCTCTCCCACCTCAAATACCATCGGTGAGAAAGTGTGTCTACGGAAGAACGAAGACAGGGAGGGATGAACTGGAGAGTCCCGCCTGCTGTGGGAAGACGATGAAGTAAAAACAAGAACACCGGAGGCAAAGGCAATAGTACGTGCATCCGGCACAACCTATCCAAAGGCGAAAGTAGCATGTGATGCCTGACTCCTTTCTCTCCACACGAAAGCATGCTATGCAAGCCGATCGTGCCTCAATCTAGATGGTCTCTCAGCCATTACTCCTGTAGAAGTACAAAAAAAAAGGTTAAAACAAAGATCACTGTTTAAAATGATGGAAAAAATAATAACAGACTAAAATAGGAAATATATTTCCGATTTTGTTTAAAATGAAAACCGAAAATACATTTTCGGTTCGACCTGCAATTTCAAGCTTCGTCAATGACGAAACAGAAACACATACGACCTCAAACAAAATGCCGATCATCAAAATGAGACTTCCAACAGTTAACTAATGATGCCTAATATTGAAAACAAACAACAAAATCCCAATTTCTAACCTAAAACGCTAATTTGAATAGAAATTACATAAACTCTAAGAAACTCAAAAATAACTTATAATTGTTGATTTTTCTTGATTTAATGTGGTTGAACACTTAAGTCAACTGATGTTTGACAATTTGTGACGAGTTTTTTTGCGAATTTGGTTTGATTTGTAACAATGGTGTTTGAGAAAAATGAGTATTTGATTGTGTTATGTTTTTGTTGTTTTAAAAACAATTATGTAATGAGGAAGAGGAAGAGGTGCGACGCGTTTAAGTCGAAATTAAAACCGAAAAAATATTTTGATTTATACCATAAGTGCCTTTTCGGTTCATATATTGTCTAATTCGTAAGCCACAATTGTGTTTGAAATGCAACCAAAAATATATTTCCGATTTCCATCCAACTTTTTTATATCTTTTATAACTAACATGGTGCGAACCAGAAATATATTTCCAATTTTAAAAAATATTAAAGAAATTTTGTATAGTGCGCTAAAAAATCATCGGACAGAAAAAGAAATCATCAAAACATGTGGCTGCAAATAAATAGATCCAACATATAAGACAACTTTATGCCATTATAAATTAGAGAGAAATTCATTTTTCTTCCACCTTAGATTGATCTCATTACATTAACTCCCAATACAGTACTCACCAATTTAAATTCAAGGATACTTCAAAGATGGCACTATATCGCTCTCATCCCATTAACTCCTAATACTCACCAATTTAAATATTGGAACCTTTTTTATCATATGTAAATTTTAACTTTAAAAATAAATAATTAATGTATTTATTGTTCTATAATCTATAGATAGATTAGATACATATTATTTATTTAATGAATCTAAAAATCAAAATTTGTTTATAATAAAGAAATAGATTCAAATTCAATAACCAATAGATCCAAATTCAACTAAAATACTTATAAATATATCGATTAAAAATAATTAATATATTTAAATTCTAAAAAGATTAAAAAAAATAACAATTAAAAAAAAATCCAATACTTAACAACGAAGTAGTAGTCTTCGCAGTCAACATATGCTAATAAACGCGTGCGTATTTATGAAAGGTTTTCTTACAATATGGTGTATTGATTATGATGATAATAATAATAATTCAAACTTGCCTGCGGTGCATCATTTCTTTTATACAGCTGTTCAAATTTGAAAAACCACACTTTTCACAGTAAAAATACCAATATTCAAGCCTCTTTTTTAGGCATTTTTATTTTATTTCACAACAATAATTCAAGTTTGAGGAACCTACAAGGCAATGTGTGAAAACGCGTTAAAATTGAGTACCACTATTTTCTTCAATCATTTCCCATCAACTTGCATATCCTCCCTCTCCCAATTGACTGATGCCACCTAAATTGAAAAACAACAAGACAGAATAAATAATTAGAAAGAGAGCACATTCCAGCCCAAAATTGACCCTAAACCCTAGAGGCTGCTCGTGAGAATCAGTCACCATAGCCAATTACATTTCAATTATATGGTTAAGAAAATTTAAAACTGATAATGGCATTGTGAGAAAAATCAAATGAAGTAGCAACAAGCTATAACAGAAAGTAAAGGAATCATAATAAATTATTATTGTTGAAACACTAACTGCAGTGATTTACAAAGAACTCAAGCTAACAAAACAAGCTAAGACTTTTGAGTTATACAATTCAAGCAAAGATGATGAAAATGTTACAAGTAAACCACAACCATATCTTTCTGGTAGAAGTGTACACAAGTAAAAAAAAAGACTCTCACAACACATAAAACCCATACTGTAATCTACAACCAATTATACTTTTCTTTCAATTTCAATTAGTCAGTCTCAACACCTAATCCATACAACACACCAGAATACTTCTCCGTTTCGCCGTTGAAGAAAGTATCCCTCAATTTCCTAAATGCACAAGCAGTGAGTAAACTATCCGATCCCGCTTGATGGCAAACACCAATCCTCTCAACCTCCAACAACTCCGCGAGCTTGTTCAACCCACCATGTAAACTGTTACGGAATTTCATCAAATGTTTTATATCATACAGCAACGGAAAATAAATGTTGATCAAATCAAAGAACCCCGATTGGGTATCGGGCAAAGTTCTGCAAGTCAAAAGCTTCAACAGATAACCAAAATCATATCCACTGTGAAAAGTCACCCATTGCATGTTATCATTCAACACAACCCCGGACGACATAAGAAGCTCTCCGAATCGGTTCACATCAATCCCTTTCTCATTATTCTTCGTGAAATCAATCCCACACTGATGCAAAAGCTCAACTGAATCAGCCGCGAATATATCCTCACTAACATTAAACTCGCGGAAATTAAACTGCCAGATGCAAGGACTCCCAGTGCCACAAGTAGGTAGGTTTCCGTTCTCATCAGAGAAAGTTAAACCTAACTGAATCAGCTTCAACATATCAACGTTATCCTTCAAAGTCTGGTAGTTAAAATCATTGATATGCTTGAAAACCCCTACAGGACGAAGAACAACACCAGGAAACTCTGTATCCATAGCTACATAGTTGAAATCATCAACAACTTCACGGATCAACGCGAATTCCTCTACGAGATTATCGTTCCAAACCTCTCTGATTTGAACCGATTCCTCTTTCGATAAATCTTTTGATAAATCCTTAGACAAATCCTTAGATAAATCCTTCGATAAATCCTTAGATATATCCTTCGATAAATCCGACATTTCAAGAGAATTGATAACCAATCGAATCAAATCTGCAAACAAAAACACCTTCAGATCTCAAAACCTAACAAATCAAAAGCAACGAAATCAAAACAGCAAGTAAATTAACCTGAAGAGGAATCGAATAGAGTGATTTGAGCTTCGAATCGAGAGCTTGGGGTAGAGAATCAGCTAGATCTGAAGCAAAAACAAGCGTAGAAACAACGTCAAAGAACGAAAAATTGAAACAATTAAGCTGAACTAGGGTTTGAAGTTTGAACTAGGGTTTAAAGTTTGAACAAAGTGAGAGCAAAAATCGAACCTTATAGTGAAGAAAACGAAGCTAAAGTATCACAGATCTTGAAATTTTGCATCGATTTGCGAGTCAACGAAACGGAACGATTGGGGGGGGGAGCTATGAAATGGAAGAGACAGGAACTTGGGGTGCGAGGGTTGAGACTTGATTTGTACTCAGTGTGAGGAGTGGGGTCGTTTTGGGTAGGAAATATGGACACGGAAGTGTCGTTTACAACTGGGCTATTGGGATCTGATATGCGACGATTAGATATATGTCGTTAACGGGTGTAAATATCACATTATCGCCGACCTTGTTTATTTTTTATTTATTTTTTTGTTACGTCATTTCAATTATTTTTAGGCATCTTGGACTCTGGATTGCAATTTGACATGCTTTGTCATTTCATACCTACTTCAATTATTTGAATGAAAATAAATTATATAAATTTTATTCTTTAGTTTATTATTTCAAAAATAATACTTGAGTGGTAAAAAGATACCACTACTCAAAAGGATGTTATTAAATCGATCGATTGATTAAGGAGAAATATTTTAAAACATGTTAAAGACGACATCTCATAAGGATCAGACGCATCTAACTCTTATGGCGGGACGATGTAGGAAGTCTCAGATTCAGAAAGGAAAACATAATTGTATACAGAAGAGATAATACATTAAAGCGAAACACGTGTCTTGTTTAAATGAATCTTTTTAAATATTGATTGTTTGTTTTAATTCAAAATTTTCATTATGAGAATTAGTAGGATATTTGTGTATTTGCACGTGTACCGGTATAATATACATATTTGTTCTTAAAATATAATAAAAATAAAATTAAAAAAATAAATTGTTCAACCGAAAAAATTTATTATTTTTAAAAGAGATAATAAATTAGTGTCTATAAGTCTTTCTATATGTAAAAATATTTGAATTAACAATATATATTTTTTGTATATAAATATTATTTTTGTTTTAATATTATTTACAAAAATATTAAAAACAATAGTAAACTTTTTTTTATTATTGTAAAAAATATTTTGATCAATAAATTCATGTTTCTGTTATAATTGTTTTATTTTCCTATTTTTTTTAAAAATGATAAGTTATGATTTCATCAAAATTTGTTTTCTAATTAATTTGCTCATTTATTTTTAAAATATAATAAAATTGTTTCCGATTATAAAAATAGTATTTTATATTTTAATATTATATTAGTGAATATCAAATTTGTTGCAAATTATCTTCCCATTTTACTTTTTCAGTGCAATAAATAATATTTATTAAAATTTATTATATTCCACTAACAACAACACAACAATACAAATTTATCATAATTTTCATAATTATGATAAAAAAATCATTTTATTTAATGTTATAATAGAGATCATAAAAAAGTATACTATAACATAAAATAAGTCAAACAACTCAGTATGTATTGTTTTTTAAATTGTAGGTTTCGTCGCTTTGTCGGCCTATATGAAATGGCCACTTTCAAAAATGCTTTTTGATTTTGTCATGTAGTACATTTGTAATACGGTGGGAGAACTGACTTGAGTGTTTTGCGTTTGATCGCAATTGTTGCAGATAGCAAGAGTCGCCGCAAACTTTTCTTTTATTCAATAAAGGAAATGGTGAAAAGAACAGGAAAGATCTTTTGAGATATTTTCTTGAGTTCGAAGGGTAGGTTATGAAAAGGGAAGGTGTTAACACCCTTTTCATCTGTAGTTATCTATGGGTTCTTAGTTGCTTGATCACTTTGAAAATGCTTTGTTTGAAATGTGTTTGTGTTTGGTGCAAGTTTGAAAATATTTTAAAAACGTCTTTGTGTCGGTAAATTTTGTAATGATTCTCGTCTCTATAAGAATGTATACAAAGTGTTGGTTTTGAAAATAGTTCAAAGAGATATTTGTTTTTGAAGATGTTTTGAAAGTGTAAGTGTGGAAATGGTTTTAGTTTGTGAGCAAGCAACTTTGAGCGTCTTACCTACTCAAAAGGTATTTGTTATTTTCCTCCTCCTTTAGATGTTGTTATCTTATCATTGATTGGTAAGAAGCCCCATCATCGGATGTGAAGGGACAGGCGCGGGTCAATCGTACAGTCATAGAAAGCAACTTGTAAGACGCTTTAGCAATTTTCGTAAGGGACTTAAGATCGTTTTACTGAAGGCAAAATCGAGGGACATCGAGGGACTATGATCTTTTTTTATCGAGGTTCTTTGCTAAAACGCCCCATATTCGAGGGACATGACTGTATTTTTTCAAGGCAACAAGCGAGGTTACCCTAGAGGTGCGCGGGTGAAAAGTGTGTTTGATTCAAGTTAATTTGTCTTTGATTAGGATTGTCTAGCGATCGATTTTAAATCTTGCCATACACGCCTAATTACTATACAGTATAAAGGAAAACAGTAAATTGCAGAACGTAAAATTCTACGCTATTACAGAGCTTTCGGGAATGAGGGATACAAATTTACAAATGGGGATGGATCGAATGGATAATGTGTTTAAAAGTCTAAATAAGCAATCAATACAACCAAATCGAATCGATCAATTAATTAGAACTACAACAATCTATAAAATTAATTAACAAAGTAAAAATATGGAAATAAAATTCTTGATATTTTTGTTTGTGAGAAATTTTGAAGAGAAAATAAAAGTTTATATATATATATATATATATATATATATATATATATATATATATATATATATATATATATATATATATATATATATATATATATATATATATATATATATATATATATATATTTATTGGTATTTTTTATCATAAAGAATTTAAACAAAATAATTTAAAACTAAATAAAAAGTTAATTAATAAATTATTCACAAAAAGTCTCTAACTAAACTAATTAAGAAAATTTAACTAATTTAAAAAACTATATTTAATTCAATTTAATTTAAAAATCTTAAACAAAATTGATATTCTAAAAAAAATCTAATGACATATTTTTTTGTATTTTTATTATAAAGGATAACTATAAAAATCTAAACTAATATTGATATTCTAAAGTTACTAAAATAAATTATAAATTAACTAAATTAAAACTAAACTAAATTAATATTTTAAAGTTATTGAAGTAAATTCTAAAATTAAACTATTTAAGAAAATTGTCTAATTAGAAAACAAATACGACTATTTAACGAAAAAATTAATTTAAATTAATAAAGCTAATAGAAAATATTAAAAGAAAAGGAACTAATCTAATTATGAAAAAGGTGTGGAACAGAATTATGGGGTGAAGTTAGAAATACATATGGGTTTGGAGAAATTGGTTGAATTAAAGCCCAAAGTGCCATAAAACAAATAACCAATCAAATTATAAAAAAACAGTGTTGCTGGGTTAAGGTAACTGGGGGTGTAAAATAAATAAATAAACCCAGCTGGACCGAACCGGGTCAGGTTCAGACCCAACCCTCTTCTTCAAACTTGTAAAGGGTTTGTAAACCCTAAAGTAAAACAAAAGAAGACGAGGTCGTCCTCTTCCTTGAATCATCATCTCCCATCCCAACTGAAACCTTCCCCTCCGATTTCCACCTTCTCTTCCCGTGTTTCTATTCCCAAAAATGCCTTCCCTTTCACTTTACTCACGGTTTCTGCTTCGTAAGACAACAACAACAACAAAAAATTCGTTCACCTCTCTCTATTGTCAACCTTCGACTCACTTCTTATTTGGATTCAGACAAATGGAATTTAAACAGTGAAAAAGGTAAAAGTGATGGATTCAGAAGCTTACATGCCAGACGCTTCTTCAACGGCGAGGAGACTGGGAAAACCAAAAAGGTCTCAGGTATGTGTTCTTCGCCTCCTGTTATCTGCTGTTAGTTTTTTCGTGTTGGTGTTGATGTGAATGAGAATTGTGGCGATGGGAAGAAGACAGTAAGGTGTTACGATTTATGGAAGGTGGCGATAGAGTCGGGTTTTCGTGAAAGTGAGTTTGATGAAGGGTAACATACGGTGTTGGAGATGGTTTTGACAGCGGGAGGTTGCAGAGAGGAAAACAGAGGTGAGTTCCGCTGGTGGCAGTGATGATGCCGTGAGGTTCTCAGCAGAAATAAGTTGGTGGTGATGGAAGCTATTCCATAGCGGAACAGAGGGAGTTGTAGCTAGTACTATGAGGTGGAAGGTAGACGATGGTTAACAATGAGAAGTATGGGATGTTTGAAAGTCGAGGTGGTGTTGATAGGTGAGCGGAATCGCCAGTTTTCACAAAGGACAAGGTAAGAGTGAAGATGGGTTTTCGTGTATGGCCGGTGAGTGGTGGATTGAGGTTAACGTGATGGATGTGAGGCATATTGAAGAGGAGATTTGAAGTATGAAGATGAAGAGAGGCCGAGTTTGGAGATGATTTAAATTGAGACGAATATAAATATTTTTCTGTGTGTTCTTCTCTGTGGTATTGTAGAGGTATTGTTGGATGTTTTCTTTGCAATTTTCTGTGAAATTTGTGATGAGTCTCTATCTTTTTTCTTCTTACTGTCTTCTGTTATATAGGTGAAATAGTGAGAAAATGGGGGATAAATTTTGTTGAATTTGAAAAAATAGAGTGCTCTATTTTTATCCCTTTCTCTATGCAGTTTTTGTTTTACCCATTTTGTGCAACCTTTGGCATGTTATGTGACTGTTTTTGCAGGGTAGAATATAGGTTTTGTGACAGTGTTTGTGGTGTAGCATAGCAGGTTGATATGGGCAGCAAGGCTTTGGGCTAGTAGCAGCAAGTTTTTCGACAGCAAGAAGCAAGTGGGCGATATAACAAGACAATGGAATGGTAAAGTTTAAACAAAGATCATGGAACTTGAAACTTTAAAACTTGGAGTTTTGGAATTGGTTGTAATTTATAATTTAAGAACTTGATATTTGTAAATCTCTTGTAGTGATGTAACAATTTTGAATGATTTGCAAAATAGAACTCAAAATTTTTCCTTGTGTAAATTCACTTGCCTTTGTATATTGTAAATTCAATTCAACTTCCATCTTATTGTCCAAACTTGAATGATTGTTGAAAGATATGCACCTTGGAGTTTAAGTACAAAACTTTGAATTCTTTGTGCCTTGAATTTTACAAACTCTTGAAAACCCTTGAAAATTGCTTTTGCGAAATGAGTGATGAAGTCTTAACAATTAGTCACATAAAGCAATTGGATATTTTTTGTAAGAAATCATTAATGATGATTGAATGAACTTGACCAAAAGCTTGAAGGAGATTGACACATAAGTGAATCAATGCGATTTTGAACATGTATTGAGTGAAGTTTGTTTGACAATATTGAATGTGTTTTGAACATTGTATACCCTCTTGATTCCATAAAACTTGTACTCAAAATGAAACTCGCATGCCATGCTCGATTCAAATGGAACTCCATTTCCAAACTTGAATTCAATCTCTTGATGAACAAAACATATGCTTTAAGAATATTCAACAATCTTGTAACATTAACGACTTCAACATGAGAATCATAGTTATGAGAAAACAATTATGGTATGAATTGAAATTAGGAGTTAAGAACATTCGAAATCAAGTAAATGACCTATGATGATTTGATAACTTTCAAAGTCTTCCAAACACAACTTTCCTTTGATCCTTGAATAAAACTCGTAGACGACATCGCTTATGACAATGTGCAGAAATAATCGTCTCAAGATCTTGAAAATTGAGGAAATTACGATTCTTGGAAGTTAGGCGACAGTTACTTAAGATTAGGTCAAAGTCCATAAAGCAACCTCTAAAGTATTCGATTTTTTGATGATCTCTTGTGCATAATAGGCTCTTGACTTGTAAAGAGAAGTTATAGATGACGTTAAGGAGAGCCATACACAAAAAGAACTGCTCAAAAATATTGATTAGTGACTAATTTACAATCGTTTGAACTTGATCTTGAAAATGTCGACTTTTGGGTCAACACGGTTCATTTTCAGTCATCTGAACCATTGACTGAGCAAACTTGCAATGCAAGGCTTGGAACTTGGCACGAGCATCCTTGAGAATACATGAATAACCATGAAGATCATTTGAAACCTTGGAAACTCAATTTTGCTTGAGAAATACCAAACCCTAATCGTGGACTCAATGCTTAAGAGGAGAATTTATCTGATCAAATTCTGAGCCATTTTGAGTATTTGAGAAACCCTAGGAGAACATCTTGAATGAAAAATGGGAGGGAAAATTTTGGGGTACAACAACATTCCTAAAGTGTAGAGTTAATTAACCCTTAACTTAATTATATATAGTAGGGCAGGACATCAGACTGATGGGGTCGGTTTCGAATCATAAATTTCTCATCCAAAGAAAACCGCTGATGAAAGAACAAAAGCCATTTTCGTCTGTTCTGGTTCTCGGTTAAGTCAGATTATGGGTTAATCGGATTACGGTTTGTTCGGGTGGTTTCAAATGATTTGTAGTTATTATAGCCGATTTTAAAATAAGAGTTGTCACCCTTAATTTTTATCCTAAGGAAGGGAATATAAAGGTTAACCCTTAATAAGTCAGAGATTCTAGGTTGTTGGACTCGTTCTTATACGAAGGGAAGGTGTTAGGCACCCCCCATCTACATTGTTCGCAAGGATACTAGGGTTTAGAAGCGTAACCTTTAAGAAATAGGATTTTAGTTTTTTATTAGGGGAACTTGCCGCGATTTTAATTGTATGCCTACGTATCCCCTTGTACTTAGTCTGAGCGTGTGAATAACAGAGTTGTTAGACGAAGTGCACGGTTAATTAAAATATTCTTGTAATCTTTTTTGAAAATTGATTGTTAAATTAATTTGATTTAATAAAAATGATTTGATATTGATTAAATAATTTTTAATGTATTAATTATAAAAATATCTTATTAAATGTATGATTAAAAAAAATTTAATGCAATAAATAAATATTTGGATGAATTGAGATAATAAATATTGATTTTATGATAATATACTAAAATTTATAAATGTATTAAAATATAAAATATAAAAAAAAATAATTATAATAAAATAATAAAGAAAATAAATAAATAAAACGCAAGGGGTATAAATTAGGTTGGGCTAGCAAAACATGGGGTGCAGGTATTAGGGCCTTGAATTCAGATGTTGAATTCAGGCCCAGTGGAGAGGGGGTTTGAATCCTAACGTTATAGTAAATCTGGGGTGTGTAGAGAGTAAGGGTCCAAGTTTAGATATTGGACTTGGCCCATTAGGCTGATGGGGGATGAGGTTTCTTCACGCAGCTAGCAAAACAAAAATAGGGAGGTGGATTTAGTAGTGGGCATGGCCCGAAGGTATTTGAACACGGATTCGTTTAGATAGGGTGCGGGAAGGCGTATGGTAATATCGTGGGCGCGCGTGTCTGTAACGCATGATGGTGATCACTTGGTCATGATGGAGGCTGCATGGTGAGGCGCGAAGCACGGGATTATAAGGCATATGTATATTTTCTTTTTTTTACAAATTATTTCATTTCATTTTTCGTCTCTCTCTCTCTCTCTCTCTCTCTCTCTCTCTCTCTCTCTCTCTCTCTCTCTCTCTCTCTCTCTCTGATCTCGTTCCTCTCTTATCACCACACAACAACAAAACCCTAAATCATCGTCGTCTCTCTGTCAACTCTAATCTATAGCGATCAACCCTTTCCCCTAAATTAAACTCTACCTCCCTCAATCTACCCCAACAAAACCCCAATCGCAACAACAATCAGAAGAAAAACGCAAGAAAAAAAAGCTAGGTTTCATTACCTATGAGTGTTCTTCGAGCCTCCTTATGTTTAGTTCTACTTTTGATCTCATTTCTCCTTCTTTTGATAGGTATTCGATGGAGGCGCCGGAAGCAGTAGCGGCGACGGTTCAAGGAGAGCTAGGTTTCAAATGTTGAAACCCTAAGCTTGCACGGAGCGCGGTGAGCAAGAGTTTATGGCGATGCAACGGAGAAGAACTCGAATCTCCTTCTTCTCTGTGAATTCTCCTTCTGTAAAATTGTTTTTCTTCTATAAAACTTTATTTTTCTTCTCTTAGAGTTCTTTAGGTTTTTATAGTGTTTCTTATTTAGCCAGAATAGGAAGGTTTTGTGAGATTGTCGTTATTTAAAGTTGATTAGGAAAATTATTAGTGAATTAAGTCAGATTTGATTTGTATTTGATTTGTTTGTAACTTGATACGGATTTGTATAACAATCTTTGATTCAGTTTTGATTTGTTTCATCTCTGTATTCGATTTTGTTTTGTATTAATTCAATTATGTTTTGTATCAAGACTGATTTATAAATATTTGTAAGACTTTTGGATAATTTAAAGGGAAAGATTTGATCTTATTTTATTTTTTATTTGAACAGCAGTTGTTTTTAGTAATAAAACATGTGTTTATTCTCTTATCTTAACAATGTGTGTTTCTTTTTGATTGGGCTTGGGCTGGAAAAAAGTGAAGGGCCGGACTATGGAAGATTTTGAGAGCTTTAAATTTGACCTTTTCTTTAGTTAACTTTTTTTCAATTGATAAAATAAATATAATTATGACTTAATAAAAAAATACAAAATGATTTTAATCGTGTTACTGTAACGCTTAATAATAATAATCTTAATAAAACAAAATACAATTTAAACAAAAACTTGAAATGGGCCAAATGTTTAACTATTGGGCCACTCATCTCAAAAACATATCCCCCTCCTTTTTGTACGTAAATGGACCCTCAACTTTTACATGGGACTTTCTGGTTTAGAAAGGTCCAAGAACTTTTAATAATGTAGACCCCCTTCAAAAATTAAAGTGGACTGGAACCAAAAAAACCAAAACGAAATAGTACCTTGATTCTATATGGGCCTTTCTGATTTAGAAAGGTCCAAAATTCTTAATAATGTAAATCCTTCAAGACTTGAGATGGGCCGTAAATGAAAGAAGCCTTAACCCTAAATGAAATGGGCTTAGCAAATTGATGCTAAGCCTCTAACCTAAGGCGCGCCCTTTATTAGCAAATGAAGCTTTTAATGGACTTTAAATTTTACATGGATTTTTCTGATTTAGAAAACCCATTAATAAGAAACCCCCTTTCACAAACTTTAAACCCCCTGAATATATGAGTTTGAAAGTAATATATTATAAAGCAAATGATAGCTTTAGAACTTGATAAGGGATAAAAATGATTGGAAACCCGCAGGGCAAATTTGGAGTATGACAACTGCCTCTATTTAATTACCTTTCAATTGAGTAGTGTGGGAATACACATGTCTCACATGCTCTGATAGGAAGTTTATTAAATAATGAAAGACCCCGAAATTTTTCCGAAAAATTATAAGGATACGTTGTACAACGTTCCCATGGGTATGAAGAGTATG